GCATATACAGTAGCTCATATACTTGAAATTTGATATATTTTCAATGTCTGAATAGCTAATTAAATTCTTTCTTCTTGATAAAAAGTTTGATTGTCTTTTGTTGTTAATATTTTGAAAGTCAAATTAATAGATGCATCATATAGTAGAGAAGTATACAAACAGATATTTTATACAAATAAGTATCTGATTATATTAAAAATAGTTAATAACTAATATTTATAGGAATAAAAAAAAATTAAGAAAATAAAAAAATATACTATTATAGCTTCAATCTATATGCAGATGAATAGATATTTAATTATTAGCTAGATAAACTATCTGAGTAAATACTGAAATAATTTCTAAAAGATGAGTTCAGAACTCTATTTATATAATTTATTTTTTTAATACTATTTTCTATATTTATATATTATTTATATGTAGAATAATTGTGAAGTTGACTACTATATTATTGTTTAAATAATTAAAATTTCTGATTATTTTAATCTGTATAATAATTGATTATCTTGATTTATTCTACATCATTATATTACTTCTTTTTAAAGTCTAGATATACTTTAATATCAGTAGGTTATTATCTACTTTATCTGCTAAATAGTTAGCTATTTCTTTAATTATTTTGCAGATTCTGTTTTTATTAAATTTTCAGTATAAAAATTTTAAATCAGATATAGTGATTTTTTTTAGATTTTATACTATATATTATATTGAATCTTCATCAAATTTTAGCTATTTTATCTGATATTAAAGCTTCTAATAAAAAATACAACTTGTTAAAATATTTTCAACTTCTTATTTATTTTTTTTATATATTAACTGATTTTAATATCTCATTTAGTTATTCTAATAGAAGATTATTTATAGCTTTTTATAGTTTATCAGAAGAGAATATTAGATGAATTTTTATACTATTTAATAGTTTTAGTCTATAGCTCTTGTTAACTTTCTTAATAATCTCAAAAGAGTTTTTATTTTACTCTACAAGCTTTCTACTGAGGTATTAAATTCTATAGTTCTTAAATAATACAAAGATCTTATCTTCTATTTCAAAGTTTGACTTTTAACAGTATCTGTTAATATGTAGTTTCATAATTTCTTGTATTTTTTTTACATTATTAGCTGTCAGCTTTCAAATTTTCTTCATTTGAATAGTACGCTACTGAGTATTTTTTCATTTAAGCTTCTCTTTTCTAGATAGTGTTCTCAGTAGTGACTTTCAATTAAAGAATATTTGAGATTTATATTTATAAATAGTTAGAAAGAGTATCATCTCAGTTGATTCATTTATTAGAGCTTCAGTTGCATGATTCATCATTGACAGTTACTTTTCTCAGTTGTTCTGATAATAGTTTATATAAAGTTTAATTATTAAATATTAATTGATAATCTTAGTCTGATTATCTGTTTATATATAATAAGCTGATAAAAACTTCAGCTTAACTCTCAATTATATGATGAATTTATCTCAGAAGTCTGAGATGAATTGTAATTTACAGTCTAATATAATTAAATTTGATACTTCATAATATCTGTAGTAATGCTTTAAAAATAGTTTTGCTAGCTTTTTAACATCTATTTTTTTTTGTAATAGAAATAGATATAGATTTCTTGCTTAGTCAATAGATAATTATCAATATTATATTATAATTTCTTTTTATCATAGAGTTATTTATAAAGTTTATTGAAATATACTATCAAACTCTGCTGAGAATTAATAGCAGCTTTAGCAGTTCTAAAGTTTTATAACAGTAAATTTTCATCTATTGATACATCAGATAATTGTTCATATATTAATTGATATTTTTAATTCAGTCATTTCAGTAGTATCTTGTCTTAACTAGCAAGTATAGCTTTATCTTCTCAGAATACTCTATTGATGATCAATCATAAATCTTCTATAGAAATAATATACTTAGCGCTAGAGCTAGATTTATCTCTATCACACGCCTATATAATCACGCTCTATATGTAACTATTAGAGCCTAGGCTTTCTATTATGAACTAGCGTACCGCATAGTAGTATATAGCATCTTTGAGATAAGCTATTAATGTAACTACTTCAAATGTCTAATAGATTATGATTCATATAGCTTATTTCTTTTTAAAGAGTTTTTTACACTACTTTTATACTTTATTTCTTCTTCTTCTTCTTTAATCTGAGGTATATAATTTCTTATAGAGACTACATCACTGAATTACAGTAAGAACCTGATAAAAAATGACTATTTTAAAAGCTTTAATTACAGGAGACAGATTTAATTAATAGGAGGTAAACAGATATCTCTAAGAGTATAAGCTACAAAACTATTGAATATCTCTGCAAGCAATAACATAAATAGAGATAAATATGAATATGATATATTTACCTATGAGTTTAAAGGAGAAACTGGTCAAAGAGATAAAATAAATATAAATAAAAGCAATTTGAATATGATATAAATAATAATAGAATATATAAAAAAATAGAATTGATAGATAGAAAAACTCATACAAAGTCTAGAGAGAAACTTAAATTTCTTATCAAATATTATTAAAAATCTTATTAACAATAAAGTTGACAAATTTTATAAAAATATAAAAATCAAGTTAGAAGGAAAATATTTAATTATTCTCACTGAAGTCAACTATTTAAAATGAAAGAGTTCTATTTTTTCAGATGCTTATTTGATTCAGGCAAAAGATATTTTTAACCGACAATAAATAGTATCTCCTACTACAGTTCCTCTAGAAATTAAATTTTAAAATAAAAAAAATATACTTCTTTACATAAAAATTTTTAAATCTTTGAATATGACTATATGTAACTCTCTAAGACTACTGAATGAAGATTTCTACCTCACAGCAACTATATAGAAGAATTTTGCTCAATACTACATTATATCTCATGCAGAAGAATACCTTCAAACCACTAAGAAGTTAAGAGATTTATAGCTCAATAACAATGATTTTCACATCTATCTTACAAGTTTTCAAGATATAAAAGCAAAACTTATATCTCTAAATAAAAGTTAAACTAAGAGTACCTATTATAATTTATTTATACTAGAACTGAGAGACTGACAATAGAAATTTATTAGAATAAAACTAGATGATTTTTATGCCATCAAGTAAGGAATTATTCAGAATCTGAACCTTGATAAATTAATAGATCAGTTGGTTACTCATGCCACTATTACTATGATACATCTCAACTCATTTACCACAAATGCTATCATTGAACAATTCAATAAACATCAATACTACTACTGTAAGAATATAAAGTATATTATCAAATACTGCTAGTTCAAAAACCCAAATCTCACAAGCATTAAATGGCAGAAATATAATAAAAAGTGCATTGAGATATTAAAAAATAGAGATAAGAATAAGACTAAGAATAAAAATAAGAGCAAAAATAGAAATATAGAGAATTTACTTACAAGTCAATGAATTCAAGTATTCTTTGCAACAATTTCTCTAAATATTGAAGAACTTTTGAAAAGCCAGCCAAATTATGAGTGAAATAAGAAAAGAATTTAATGGATACAGCAAGTGGAAGACAAAATAAATTGACAGAGAAGATGAATATGATTGATTTGAGCAGAATAGTAGCTAGTCTAAAGGAAGGTGTTGGAGCCTAGATTTCCTATTATGAACTAGCGCACCACACAGTAGTATATAGCGTCCCTGAGATAAGCTACCAATGCAACCACTTCAGACGTCCAACAGTAAACTAGCAGATCAGTTATGATTCAGTCATGTGATCATGTGAATTGTTTATAATCAGTCATGTGATCATGTAAGCTGTTTATAATCTGAGCAGACTCTAATATCTCTTTTTTCTCATCAATTTTAGAGTTTTATTATATAACAGTTAGCAATGCAGAGAGATTTTTTTCTAGACAGCTCACATCTACTCTCCAACATAATACTAAGATTTCTTCTACCTTTTCACTCAGGTTGTAGTGAAAATTCAAGTGTTTCAGTTAATTTAATACCTGCTAGTTGAGAATCTGATGATATATTAAATCAATTATTGAAGATAAAAGTTTAATCTGACATTAGATGATCACTGCAAACTCTTAACCTTTTGAAAGAGATCAAAAGAACTAGTAATACCTTCTAACAAGATCAATTAATCAATTATATATTTCAATTTAGAAATTCAAAAAGGTAATTCATTTAGATAGCAACTGTGTTTATAATAAATTGATAGTAATTTTTGATGATATCTTTGATAATAAAAAAATATTAATAGATACAATTATATATCTGAGAATAAAATAAAATAACACTATTAATTAGACTGCTGTCAAGTAAAATCAGATTGATGAGCTAATTGGTAAACATAATGAACTTAATTATATTTAGATTTATATGATAGTCAATAATCAGACAGCAAGTTAAATATTACTTTCTCTGAGACTATCAGAAGTTTTATCAAAATTAATGACTCAAAATATTTCACTGATAGTAAGAAGTTAAAATTTAAATAATAGCTTTTATAAATGAAGAATAAGTTTTAAAAGAATATTAATCACTATTCTACTGAATATATAAAAATTATATATATTGAAAACTAGACTGATAAGGATATAGCATGTCATATTACCCTTTATATGAAAGAGAATTACTTTAGTGATATCACACTGTAAAAGAGATATTTAAACATCTTAAGTCAATATATAAGAACACTAACAAACTGTAAAATGTCAAGAGTAATTATTGCAAGCTAATTATATATAATGAGAATAATTATTATAAATTTATCATATAATTATTACACTTAATAAGTGAGATCAAGATTGTTAGAAAGGACTATAAGATAGACTTCAATGATAAATTATTTTTTGATCTTTAGAGAATGATAATAGTAGTTAATATAATCATTTAATATATATACTAAGTTTCAGAAAATCTATACTTAGATAGTTTATATTTTTTAGATAATTAATGTCAATTAGAAGTCAAAAAACTTGCAGAGAAATAAATCTAATATCTTTAAGCAAAATATTTTATAGATCTTCAATAATCAAACTTTTTTTAATATCTCTGCTACAATATCCTCTATCATAAAGAAAGTCTTAGACAGTCATTCAGGTATTCAGTGCTACTATTGTAATAAGAAAGACTATATTGTAAAAAACTACTCTGTGAAATAGAAATTTAAATAGATAATCACTAAACTTATAAAAAATAATATTTCTGAGTCTTCAGCAGATTCAAAAAAGAGTAAATATGAAAGAAGACTTTATTTCAAATTATTTAATAGTTTATTATAGGTTTGAGATGAAGGATTTGATTGAGGAAAAAAGTTTTAATATATTAATTAAGTTAATTTATAATAGAATTTACTATTTCTATAAATTCATTTACTGATAATGAAGCAAATGATATAAATTTATTAATATCTGATATATTATAAAATTAATAAGATTTTTTAATAGAAAGTTTTAAGAACTTTTATTCAAATAATATATGAAGGGATATAATAGTGCTTTTGATAGAAGATAGACTATATATTAACTTTAAAATCTCTGAGTGAATGACTGAAAATTTTAGAATATTTCTCTGCTGATGATGAACTTAAGTTAGTATTTTATCATTCTGAGATAAAAGTGATTAATAGTATAAAATATATGACTTAATATTAATAATCAATATTTAGTTTGACTAAGTGAATGATTTATCTTTGAATAGATTATAGAGCTGATGCTGAAGATAGTATTCTGATCAATACTAAAGTATTCAGACTCTAAACTTGAATATTAGATAGATATGAAATAAAAAAAAAAAAATCAGATATAAGTATCAGACTCAGCTCTGCAGATTAAAAGAAATCAACTTAATTATGATATTTAATATAAGGCAAGGATTGAGGTGAGAAAAAACAGTATCACAGAAGATGTATATGAATTTTATAAAACTACTCTTTTTTATAATTATATAAAAAACAAGAACTCAATAGTCTTTATAATCAGTATATATGAAATTGATAAATAGCTTAAAAAGAAGCAGAGTTTAATAAGAGCTGAGAATAAGTCTGATAAGAAGCTGATTAGAAACTTATTAGAATAATTAAAAGATTAGAAGAACTACTTTTCAAAGAAAATATCAGATGAATTATTTATATTATAAAAAAATATTAACTTTAAAATATAGCTTTAGCTTAATATTAATATTATTCAGAGTATTAGATATACACCTTTATATAAGATAAATTTAAAGGAATTAGAGGCAATGAAGATCTATCTCAAAGTTAATTTAGTAAAAAACTTTATCACTTCAGA